AGTAAAGTTGGGCGTTGGCTTGGATATATTCCGCAAATTGTACTATTATAGGCCGGTGTCAATACGTGTCTTCACATTTTCAAAGGGCAAGGCCTGACATACCTGTGTCGCCTGCCTCCCCGGAGTATGCAATGAGGGTATGCTTGTTCAATTTACGTGTCTTATCGTCGGTAGACTTCAGGATAGTCGGCCCTCTCATAGCAGCTTTGGATGCCGCAATGAGAGTGAAGTCCTTTCCAGTAATTCCTAATAGAACCTCCCTTTAAGCTGTCAGCTACCTGTAATAGATGCGGTGGAAACAGCTGTTCTCGCTCACTTACATGGTGATGATCAAACGGTAATAGGCCAAACACTACCTATCAAATAATCTGGACTGGAGTTCAAATCTTTTGCGCAGTCGAGAACAGATATGCAATGGGAATGAATGCTGCGAGAGCTACCTATCTATCCAGCGAGCTCCCGTCGTCGTTACGCAGCGAGCTTGACGCCTAAACCGGAATGGACGTCAGTTATGCTTAGTCATACAGAGTGGGCTAGGCTATATCGGGATTTAGGCGTAGGAGATTCTCCGTATCCGGAAGCTTATTCTGATGCTGACATAATAGCTTGACCACAGCAACAAAAAAAGTTTCACTCAGGCTTGACAGAGCCCACGAGAGCGACTGCGGTGAGGCGATCCACGAGGCGGCTTGCTGCTCGAAGGCTCTTGGACATTTGTAGGGTGCGGAAGGGCAGTTGAGGGATTTACTTGTGCGCTATTCAATATGCCGTCGTTTTTTACAATTCCGGCGTCCCAGCGCAAGCGCAAGCGGGAAGACCAAGCTGCAGCTCCAGCTTCGAAAAAGCGAGGACTTGCGGGAAAAGCCCGCGCGCCATCCGCTGAAAGCAGACAAAAGAGACAGGAGAGAGAGGAGTCTATATCCGGGAGCGAATCCGATGACGATGAAGTTATAGAATCCGGTGAAGAATCAATTGATGAGGAAGAACTTTCAGGTTCCGAAGAGGAGGAAACTGCTGCGGAGCGGAGACTAAGGTTGGCGGAGAGATATCTGGAGAATATCAAAGAGGAGGTGGACGAGGCTGGGTTTGATGCCGCGGAAATCGACCGAGATTTAATTGCGGAGAGATTAAAAGAGGATGTTGTGCGTGGTCCCTTTCAATTTATTCAACTCGACCACCCTCAGACCAACTAACTTATGTTAGGACGAATCCAAAGGACGGACTTACCGGCAAATAGCATCTCAGCTATCGTTTTCGACAGCATCACATTCATACTTCCGTGCAGATACTCAGAGCACGACATCAGTCGCTGTACACTCTCCATATGTCTACACTGTCTCAAAGGACAAAACGCTTATTAAATGGGAACTGATTCCGCCCGTTGATATCCCTGATACCGATGTGACAACCACGAAGAGACCCGCGCGACCTTTTCGGAAGAAGCCCAAAAAGATCCGGTCCATAAGGGGTTTGCAGGCGGGAGGCAACGACGAAGAACCTCAGGGCCATACAGGAAATATTCTCGCTGTTGCGGTCTCACCCTCTGGGAAGTTTGTTGCAACAGGAGGTGCGGATAAGAAGTTGATCATATGGGATGCGGATACCCTAACTCCTCTCAAAACCTTTACACAACACCGAGACAGCGTAAGTGGGCTCTCGTTTACTCGACGCATCTCAGCAGCCACTACTGGAGAGCAGCTGTTCTCCTCATCGTTTGATCGTACATTAAAAACGTGGTCTTTAAGTCCCGGCTCCCATGCTTATGTTGAGACGCTCTTTGGCCATCAAGACCATGTCATTTCGGTTGCCTCCATGGTTACCGACCAGTGTGTTAGTGTCGGCGCCCGTGACCGTACCGCGCGGTTGTGGAAGGTCATCGACGAGACCCAACTCGTTTTCCGAGGTGGCGGTTCCAAAAGCTCTGAATATGCAGAGAATTCCATTGATTGTGTTGCAGTTATTCCCCCGGCTCACTTTGTCACCGGCTCTGACGATGGATCTATTTCCCTTTGGTCAATGCACAAGAAAAAACCTTTATTCACCATACGCCAGGCTCACGGATTAGACCCTATACCTGCCCCCGAAGAGATTTCTCCTGATCAAGATCCTGATGCCGCGGCACGAAGTACTAAATACATGCGGCCGACTCCTCGTTGGATTACAGCACTAGCAACACTGCCAGGCACGGATATTGTTCTGAGTGGAAGCTGGGATGGCTGGATCCGAGCATGGCAGGTTTCTGAGGATAAGAGAAAAATAGTTCCCCTTGGGTGTATAGGTGGACAAGGTTCGCCTGCTCACTTTCTCAATAACCAACTTGAATTCAACCCTGCCCAGCAAATAAACGGTGCGGGAGTAAATGCCAACGTGTCATCCAACGAACCACCTTTGAACGGGATAGTAAACGACATCGCCGTCTTTGAGCGCCGTCCTCAAGACTCGAAAACTTCTTCAGCAATGAAGGTCAAGTCAGCCAACAACGGCTCCAAGGCTTTCCCGATGCAAGAAAGCACCAGACCTGGTCTGTGTATAGTTGCGGCATTAGGCAAAGAGCACCGCCTGGGCCGATGGAAAGTGTTTGGTTCTAATGATAGAAAGAAGATCGGGGGTTCAAATTCCGGAGGGAGAAATGGAGCAGTAGTTTTTGAGGTCGCTTTCCGCCCCAACGCCAGCGTTATTGAAAGCTGAGTGGAAAAATAAATATACCACTTCGTGACAGGTTAAAAATTATGACTTGAGTTGAAAACTCATAGAATTCCCTAGAAGGAATTTTTGTGTTGACCTTCTGGATGACGGTGCTACGTGTTCGTGTAGATAGCCACAATGTGTTGTATGTACGGTATCATTCTCGCCCTCTCTTATGTATGGTTCCAACGCGATCCAAGTGCAGTCAACCCAAGCGTTCAATGAGGACAGGACAAAACCCAATGATTAAAATCTTCCGGGCGGTTTAGACCTTGATCAGGGTGCGTGCGGTGCGCGCATTCGATATTCACATAGGAGAATGCCTGCAACACAGTCTTCTCAAGAGCAACTTGTAATGCCAAAAAGCACCGGAATATCCATTGGCACCATTGCATAGTGCCGTAACATTATCTCAAGGATACAAGCTTGAGTTGAAATACAAAGCAGGATGGAATAACCGATGAAGTAAAATGCTGATATGAGACCCAGATAAAATTCTTGCCTTGACTGATGTGCCTTTTCGAGTTTCCCAACGCCATACGAATCCATCTCCATGCCCTGTTACCGCCTATGTTAACCAATCCTATGTAAGCTGACGCCATTCAGGGAATTGAAAAGAGAAAATTTCCAGGAACTCATCCTCGGCGCTAGGAGCCTTGTTATCTATCTCTCAAACGAGGAGGCGTATCATAAACTACTTAAGCTAATCGGGGATCGGAACAAGGTATCATTCGCGTCGTCGGCTTTTGGTCAAATAGATCGACCCCGAAGCGATACGATGTCGAGAAGTGAGCCGTTATTTCAGCATGACCCAGGGCTGCGGTTTCCTCGTCTATGCGAATAGGGTGCCTCAAGATAAATCCCCACTCGTCTTTGTCTTCTTCTTCTCACCGGACCACGAGGCTCGTCGTCTGAAGAACTGTCGTGCGTCGAAGGGGTAGGACTCGCTTGTGATCGTGGTACAGTGGTGTGCGAGCCAGAAGCACTGGAAGGCGAGATTTGGCGCCTTCGACGGGATGTCATTCGAACGGGTTCATCATCCTCGTCATCATCGTCAAGATTTATGACCGTGGCATTCCCAAAAAAGCCCTCAAACACGTGCTCGCTCGCCCCCTCGGACATGCTATCAGCAATTTCACTTGGCATATCCCTATCGCCAGTGGTAGGCGACTGAAGTGAATCCTCGGTCAAATAGTCATTATTGCCTACGATAGTCGGCGTAGTCGTGTCCGAATCCTCCTCATATTCTTCCTCTCCTCGCTCTTCATCTTCATCTTCTCCATCCTCTTCGTCATCGATGAAAGAGCCCATGTCATCCGAGTCTTCATCTTCAGAACGAGAGCTCGTAGAATCGGATAAGCTGTAAAAGTGGCGCTCATCGTCCATGTAAGATTCATTGTCGATAGCATCATCCATCATCATAAGCTCCTCACTATCAAACCTAGAGGCATATGCGGGATCTCCAAAGACCTCCATCATTGCTGTTTCACTGTCGGAATCATAATAATCGTCCTCACTGAACTGGTCTCTTATAAAGCCACAATGGATACAGTCGCCGTCTTCCAATTCCCACGTACACCTAGGACAGCGTTCGACCCCGTCAGCAAGATCCTCGATTGGCACCCCGCCGATTACGGTATGTCGGAAACATCCTTGGAATAAGCCTCCAGATTCCAAATCTTTCTTATCCAAGTCCAGTTTCTCTGTTTCGGCACGCTGATTCTTCAGATGTTCGGCTGTTGTTTCGTCTTTGTCTAGGAGCTCGGGCCGGGTTATAAAGATTTGCACGATGTTACGAATCTAGAAGAAAAGAGTCGAAACCGCAACTGATTAGCTCAATAAAAGGGAACAGCAAATCTAACAGAATGTACATACCATGTAGGCAGGTGCAGGTTCCGACCACACCGCAGCTCGGCAATCCGGACATGTCTTTTTTCGTTGGTGGTTCAGAAACCACTGAGTAAGGCACTGCGCAAGAAGCTGGTCAGTCGGCGGGGATCAATTTCTCGCATCGCAACTTACGCTGTAGCAAAATGTATGGCCGCAGCCAAGTGTGAATGGTTCATAGAGTGGCCTGACACACACTCCGCAATAGATTAAATTTCGAATGTCATCTATATCCTTCTGGAAAGTCCGCAGAAGCTATCGACACGTCAAGTACAGTCCATCATGCCCGATACACAAGGTCAACTTACTCCAGTGGGGTCTGTTCGTTTGGGTGACCGCGAGCGTAGGTCCATTTGGTCGTCACTGACAGAACCGGAGGATTTTCTTTTCCTGCTGATGGTCGACATGGTTCTCGGAGGATTTCGACTATGAAGCGGAAAGTGGTGAGTTCAGCGGCCAAGGCCGAGGCCCCTGGCACGGTCTTGACAGATCTCGATGCTGACCTTCCTAGGTGGCTTACGGGATTGAAGTTATGAACTGGGTGATTGGATACACGCCGAGCTTTTCAGAAACAGGTCACCCCGAGGGAATGGGGCAAATCAAAGCTGGAAAGAACCGAGAGCATATTCGTCAGTGATACAACCTTTCTCCAGGTTGAAGTCATCCAAAACAAAAGTAAAGGAATTGCGCGTTTAGAGCCTTCCGGAGATCTCAGCAAAGAAGGTTTACCTGAGGGCGTCGTCGACCGTGAAAGGCCGCCAAAGTTGATGACGGAGCTCAAAGTCAACCTCCGCGCCCCAATCGCTAGTCCCAATCGAGTTAGTCCACGTGGTACCTTGATTAACTAATAGCTTAGTCATGATTCTCCTGGATTGTCACGTGTCAACCCCTCAGCTGCAAAGGCTGACCAGAATCGACGGGGCTCAATGGCGTTCACCGTCAGAAATCCCCAAGAGGGTTTCTTTTTTCCTTCTTTCTTTCTTATTATTTTGAATATGCCTTCCCGGTCATAAGGTCGAAGGATCAATCGCACACTTGGGACTGTGGAATAGCACTGATATGAGCTGGGCAGGAACTTGGCTCCGCTATAAATGGAGCTTAGCAGCTTAGCTATGATGGGCCTTGATAGCTCTTTGGCACATTTGATCCCGAATAAGGCGTGCAATATCATGGCAATTGGGTATATATTATGATAATTCCTACGGAACGGAATACGTATCTTGCATCGAAGAGCTCAACGTCAAAACATCGATGAATGGGAGTCAACTGAGCTTTCTCCTCTCACAACTAGGCTGCATGTGTGGGAATGCTCTACACCACCTCACACTCAATTAAACTTTCTGTGCCTTTCTCTACCGTCCAGATGTTGACGATTTTCAAACCCACAGATCCCAACAACTGATGCCAATGCTTTGCGGTGCGTTCCTGGGATGAAAACAGGGCCAACATGATAATATCCAATGAGGTCGTTTCCCAGTACGCATCGATATCAGGGATGACGTTCTCATTGATCAAAAGTCTCGAATATCCAGGCTCCATAGCCTTGACAAGGTTGGTAAGAATCTTCACAGCAATGTCATCTGGCCAATCATGAAGAATGGAGTGCATAAAATATGCGCGAGCCCCTGGCAACAACAAGTCAGGACATTTTACTCAAACTATGAAAAGGCATATAGGGGTTATACCCTTGATAGGTTGATCTTTGAAGAAGTCATGTTCCATTGCCGTGATGTTCGGGTCAACGGTTTTTCGGGTTTCTTTGATCACCTCCGGAAGATCTTGCACAATCAATTTGCCGGGATGTCTGGGCCATTTCTTTTTAAACTCCATCAGATCATGTCCAAGACTGCCACCGACATCAACGATGAGAGGCGCATCCGCTTCAGCCTTGGCACCATCAAAGAGGCGTCCTTCAACCGGGAAAAACCCGGGGTCCATCCAGCTGGATCGGCCTTGGTGATAGGCAGACATATGATTGTTGAATTCGCTACCAACCTTGGGGTTTGCTCCCAAGTATTCGAAAAAGTTAAGATCCGTATTGAAACCCATTTGGAAGGGTGAATCCTTTATATTGTTTGGATTGTTATACCCACGCTTTTTAAAGAATTCGGGCATTGTATGAGCAGCGGAAGTGACACAGCCGGTCCTGGGAACACCTCTGTTATTATCACCTTTCTTTTGCATGGGATGAAAGTGAAGAATGGATAAAGCTTCACATACATGCAAGGCCAGCCATCAAAGTATTTCTTAATTGTCAGGGTCTTTGACAACCCGTTCGGGCGGTAGAGATCGGCTCCGGCTTCCACAACAACACCCATTGCGGCAAGGTGTTTGAGGATGCGACCTACATGAATGGTGAGCGGACCCCTTGCATGGAAGAACACTAATAACGTGCAACTGACTGAGTAAAGTTGGGTCCGACTTTGTTGCGTTTGCAAGCTCGGAAACCGTTTTGGGCTTATCATCTTTGGCTAAGATGTGGAAAAGCCCCATATCAATCCCGGTCTCGATCGCCCCAAAGATGCTGGACTAGTCCTCGGGAATATTGCAGCGTCAACAACCATCCCGTGAAAGACGGATAGTACGGAGTACTCCGACAGGCTTACCTGTGCCCAGCAATACCTTATCATGGCCTCCCGCGGTGTCTCGAGGGCGTAGACCAACGAGCGAGCGGCCTCCAAAAGCTTCATGCGGCTGCGAGGCTCAGCAGCATACTCTTCGCCAAAAGCGGCAACAGCATGGAGAAGCTGGGGAACATCCTCGCCTGCGTTGGGCAAGACGGCAATGCTCTCGTCAAGCACGTTTCCCGCCGTCAGCCCATTCTGCTCAAAGGTATCGACTCTGCTTGGCTCTCCCATATTTCGTTGTCGAGTTCTCAGGCAAAATCTACTCGGAAACTCCTCTTAACTGGAGGCTGAATCTCAACGATACAGTTGCACGGAACGGTGAAATGCAGTGGATTAACCAGGTGGGCTGGCTTTGCTCCGAAGCAATGTCGACGCAGGGGGTTCATGGTTATTAACAGAGGCCCCTGTATTGGACTTCCGTGGTCGGCCCCGGGGAACACTCGCAAGCGGAGACGTTGTTTTTAGTGTGTGCTGCGTTGGCTCGCGAAGTGGGACGGATAGTGTTGTAAGAACCCACTCCAGCGCACCTTTCCGCGTCCCGCAGCTTTGGGCCACTTGGCTGATGAGGACGAAAAAAATAAAATTGTTTGGCGCAGCAGGTTTTATACGAGATCACCTCCTTGGTCATCTCAACTATCTCGATAATTCAAGCGACTCTCAGGAGCGACGACGTCGATCCCAGGCTTGCGACTCCGTCGAAAAGGAAGTTTGCTTATTTAGGAATCTGAAGAGAGTGAAGCTATTCCCGGGCGAGAGAAAAGAGCACCGCCCCAGGCCGCAAGGAGAGTCCGTTCGCAAAGGTCTCCCCACTGCTCATTTCACGCTTCAGGCTAGCTAAACTGACGATAACGTTAACTCGACCACTGGGAATTTCACCCGCCGAGTAGCCACTGCCAAGTCTCATCATCAGCCCACATTTGCACTTGAAAATGATGAATTTAACTTCAGGGTTCGGCAATTCTGGCCCGTCGAAGTCCACCCTGGTCCGTGTTGTGAGGCTAAAAAGGGCTGCACAGGACAGGTCCAGCGGGGATTGGAGCTCAATGAACCTTGACAATCCTGGCTTGAACCAATGCTGAGGGGTCCCTAGCCAGCAGTCCGGCGTTTCTCATCCTCGTTTGTTCATAATATTGCTCCTTTCGACTTTTCACTCCCGGGCCCGCCTCCCGCCCGAATTTCTTGGAGCAGAACCGAGCCAGCAACCGTGCTTGAGGAAACTTGAGTCATTGGACCAATCGGGGAACGGTGGTTCCTAACGGCGAGGGACAGCTTCCCGCCCCCGTGGAGCCGCCAAAGACGCTTGATGTGGGGTACGATGACGATCCTTACTTTTTTTTTTCCTTGTCGTCTTCCAACCTCCCGAGGCCAAAGAAACGACTTTCCCTGTGATGAATATGTCCAATGCTTCAATTTTTTGGTTCGATGAAGCCCCTTGTAATTCTTCTCCGTTACAAGAATGATCGAACATTCCCATTCGGTGCGCCTGTCCATTTTCACTGCCTCGATGACCTATTTTCGTCTTTGAGAATGGACGGTAGATTATGCTGGCCTGTGCTTCTGTGTGTTCATAATTTCTTGAATTTGTACTCCGTATTCCGAGAGAGTGGAAAGGGCGCGACTTTGGAGAGGCTTGTTCTGGATCCATGATCTCCAAGAGAGGGAATTTTGGCGTTCCGTACCCCTGTGCCGGGAGCTTTTGCACATAAGGAAACAGACTTCCGCCTGAAACTCCACTCTCTGCCGTCTCGCTGGGTCCAATGGTCGGCAAACGCTGAACAAGGATGGCGAGGTTCTCCCTTCTCATTGTCGGGGTTAATCCGCATTTGTGTCGACAAGTGCATGAAAAACTCCTCCCTGTTGCGATGCTTTCTTTTGATGTCCCATCCTCTTTTGTTGTTATCCCCATCTATCAAACGATGAATCCTTGATTGATAGTTGAGTGTATCCCCACTTGAGATCGACCTTCTTCAAAGTGGGATCTTCTTAACGGGGGGGTTGTTCAGGATATATATGGTTCTGGAACATCCACTCCTTTGGCCATTTTCTCTCTGGCCTTGAGCACACCTATCTTCCATCCTTAAGCCACAGAGCGTTGAAGAGAAGATGGCTTCAAACGCAGGGAACGATGATGCCAACAAAGGGCCCATGCTGTTGGCAGTGATGTGGTCTTTGACCATTATCACTGCCATTATTGTCACCGCGAGAATCTATATCAGAGCAAAAATCGTGCGAAATCTCGGCCCGGATGACTGGCTGATTATTGTCGGAATGGTGAGTTACAACATGCCTTGCCACTATCTACCAAAGTTGGTGTTTGACAGGTAGACAGGCCCTGGGTATCGTTTATGTTGCTATAACGCATGTCAACGTGGTTGTTGGCTACGGCAGGCAGCAAAAGACCCTCGCTATAGAGAATATCGAGACTGCGATTATGCTGAATACAGTCAGCTTTATTTTCGGCATTCTCTCATTCACAATTCCCAAGCTTGCGGTTGCTGCCATGTTGAATAGAATCCTGAATCCCACTCGTTTCCAGCGTTATTTCCTCTGGATTTTAACTGGGTTGGGTACCGTGATATCCATCGTGTGTATCCTGGTCCTCTTTACCATGTGCTCTCCCCCACAGGGACTTTGGAGAGTTCGAATGAAGGCTAAGTGCAGAGACACCTGGATCCTTATCAACTATGCAATTTTCACTGGAGGTATGACCCGTTCCCATCTGCTTTTCATGACGAAAACCTGGTTGACAGGGGTAAATAGCTGTATCGGCATTTGTCGATTTATATCTGTCGATCTATCCGACAACCGTACTGTGGAAACTTCAAATGTCAACTCGGAAAAAGGTTGCGTTGAGCGCTGCTTTAAGCCTTGGATCTATGTGAGCACTCCTTTTGATGTGGCGGGACTACAGCGCTAACGATCCTAATAGCGCGTCCGCTATGGCAATTATAAAGTGTACACAGCTTCAGGGGCTCGCCGATCAATCCAACTATACATGTATGGGCTCCATATTCATCGACTTTTATGGTAGTAAATGCGATGCTAACCATTCTCTAGATAGCACTGCTGAACTGGTAGTTTGGACAAAGTAAGCCTCAGTCTACCCCAGAATTTGACTTCAGCCACTAATTACCTGGTGATAGCATTGAAGCAAACGTCGTCGTCATAGCATCCTGCATCCCAACCCTTAAACCCCTGATTGAGCGTCTTAGTGGAACTATAAAAGGTTCACGAGGTAGCAGTGGCCGATATTATGGACGCTACGCCAAAGACAGCAGCGGGCAAATAAGATCCTCGTCGCAACGAAGCAAGCGATTTAATTCGAAGAAAAACAGCATTTCAATTACCAATGCCGTTAGCGAAGAGAGTTTCCTGCCAACTCACGAGACCAAACAAGGCATCCGTCGGACAGACGATGTCTGCGTTGAGTACGAGATGCAGGACGAGTTCTCAAGGGAGGCCAACATCCCAAGCCAGCACGTTTGAGCCTCAGGAAACAGAAACTTTCCTCAGTCAAGAGGAATTGCCACGGCTCGTTGGAATAGGAACCGATCCGAGCGTCATTAAATTTATGCATTTGAGTGCAATGTTTAAGAGTACCTCTTGTGAAGTCCTCGACGGGATTGAACTCATTCCCAGTCCGTGTCTCTAGGCGTCTCTGCAGTGGCAATGGGAGACGAAGCTGGGAACACACTTTTCAGGGAATTCGGATGCGAATGATGCTATAAATTCGCGACCATACTTGTACATACATATATAACTTCACCACTTCAGGCTTGGGTCGGACAATGGACGGCTTAAGAACCACGCGTCGAAGGATAAATCGATACATACTGTATATTTAGATAGTTTGGAGAGGGAACGGAGTCGAGTAGATAGGTTCCTTGCACATAGTTGATTCCTTATGCAATGATAAGGGTGAATAGAAGGGAGCCGGGATTCGAGTGTTTCATACGGAGTACCGTGCAACTCCACGCATCATTTCTCTCCTCCTTTTCCCCGGGATGACGATTTGCCGTAGGTCTACTCCGTAGACCGTGTAACTTTGCCGTAACATCAGGAAGTATTATTACGGCAAGAACCACCTATTACGGTAACAATTCCAAGCTATATTTAAACAGTCTAACCAACTTTGGATTAAGAATCCTGGTTCTGGGCTTTACTGATTAGGACTAGCGCACAACTGGCAGCCCTCCCATATTTATTACTTGGACTAACCCCGCCGTCTTCCTCCGTCGTCAAACCTCCTCGTCCCTCTGGTCACAAAAGTGGACGAGCCATCGTCATCGGAAAGGTGGTGACAGTTAATCCGACAAGACGTGCTCTTCATATCTGAGCGTCTTTCCTATCTTCCGCTTTCAGTAGATAGTGGGAAACCTTTCAGTTGGTATCGGGTTCCAAGTAGGGCGGCTGCCTTCTTTTCTTGCCTTGGAGACTGCTGATACTACCTGATTCTAGTCATCTCGACCCTTCCACACATTCTCATGGATGGGTTCGATGAATTGCGAATTGCTGGTCCTTGGGAGTCGTCGCTAGCCGTCTCCCAATTTGATATTTTGCCTATCATTCCAGCAGATAATATACAAGACCCTCCAAGGGTTTTGAGGAAGAAGCAGAGCTTGTGGAAGCTGCCAGTCTCATGACAAGAGTACTGTCAATACATTGTCGAGTATCTACCTATTTAACGTTGCGATTCAGAATTGAAATCCTTTTTGGAAGCTTTTGTTCCTTTCTCTACGTGCGAAAACTAAGCGGTGTCTCCAGTACTCTTGCCACCGATGGTTTATAATCATCTGGCAAACAAGTCTCGACATTCCCATGCAGCTTGCATTTGTTTCGAGTCATTCGTGTCAACATTCTTCAGTGACCCGAGAATGGTAGCATTTACCATATACGCTGTACATCGAAATATTCGCACTATGAAACTCCTGAAGCGATAAGATAACACGAAGGCTGTTACCCAAAGCGACAACGATATGATTCCAAAAGCGACCACTGCTAAATATATTATCTTCCTGATGCAGCACTTCCACAACCGCAACAACAAAGGCAGTAAACGAAAGAGTACAACAAATGACGGCAAATTCCGAGCAACTCTGAAAAAGGCACAATTTCCCTTGCGACACTATCCTAATGCACCACGTATCGTATGCGAGAATTTGAAGCGTTTTACTCGATCGTAGGACGTGCTCGCTTCCTTGAACGCTCCTTGAGATCCTCCGAAAGCAAATGACTGTCGTCCGTGAACCCTACGGTGACTTTATCTTCATCCACCATTTCTTTGTTCATGTGAGCCAAGAACTGCTCCTGCTCTAGCAAGAATCGCTTGAGACTCTGAGTGTTGAAGGGTCGACGCGCTCGTTTTTGATCGCGTATCTCCTTCAGCTTCTTGCGAATTCTCTCCTCAAGTATCTCAAGTCTGTACTCGCTAAACTGGAAATAGAGCTCCGGTAAGTCCGAGATGGCACGCACAGTCGTAAGGACTGTGTCATCCGGCAATGTTGCAGAACGGGGCCGGAAGGATGTCACCATGGTAATGCGCTCGGTGGAGCCGAGGGCGCGTAACGCGACATGCTCAATATATCGCCCCTGAAGGACAACAGCACAGCCCTACCATTGTTTCGATTAGTGCTGAACAACATAATGTAGGTTCATATTCGTTCGAAATTTGCTTACCATTTGCGGGCCCCTGACTTTCAGAATACTGCGATCTCCCTTACGAAGAGCCGTTTCTCCTCCGATCATATTGGTGCAGTCGCTCAGCATTAGCACGCAAACAAAGGGATAACTATCCGTATGCCAATCAACAATAGGCATCTGCTCCTCATCCTCCCCTTCTTCAGCCTTCCTTGCTGCATCTGCGAGGGCCTTGTTCTTTTGTTCCTCTGATTGGACGGAGATGTTTATATGCCCAATCTCCCAGTCCATCACTGGAACGAGGTCAATTCCAGCAATTTTGGAAACTATGGCCAAAGTTTCGGGATTTTTCCAGGCATCATATACGAAGGGAGCGAACCTGCCACTTGTCAGTCTCATACAGAATACATCTTTGGGAGCGTTCTTACTCTGGAGCAAATCCTCGCAATTGGCATTGGGCGATATTGCTTGAGAACTTATAGTGGCGCCACACATTCTCGCTCAGAACCTCTTTTCGCATCTGCTTGATGGCCTCTGCCGAGAACAGCGGGAAAGGCTCAGACACGCCGACTGGCGACACTCCAACATTATCTTTATACCCTAGTTCTTTCATGGTATGCACCTTGGAGGGTGCGGTAAAGTTGAGATGTACGCTTGGGTCGAACTGAACACTCCCACTTTGCTCTACAGCATCACCGTTGTTGACAATTGGTTTTATTTTACCATTCTGTGGCTTGGAAGAGGACGGCGACGGCACATAGGCGGAGAAGGCAGGAGGGAGGGCCGGGGCGATGGTATCTGCAGCTGCCATCTTCTTTTTTTTCTCTTTTCTTGGTGAGTATTTCCCCGTCAATGGAATGGGATACAGTCTTGAGTGTTTTGCTTTAAACAACAGCATTGTTAAGTGAATCACAAAACAAATGAAAGAGATGATAAATTGGTGTGGCCATTATCATCCAACAACAAAGAAGGGTGTTGTGATGTCGGTCCCATATCGATCTCGACTTGCTCTGCCACTCACCCTGGAAGAAGTGTGTGCTTATGACTTTTTGCTGTGACAATTATAGGAAGCCAAGTCTTTTGAGAAACAACGACAGATGAACAAGCGAATAAATATATTTTGCAAAGATCACCAAATTTATTCCGGTCCACGAGTCTCAGGAGACCAAAACCAATTCTAAGACTTAATGACACCTGTCTTCGAGAGGGACGATGGGGCCTATTTATGTGGACAGTCCCCTAATTGTCCGGAGGTACAAAGTCTTTCCTACCTGGCTTCGGATTTGGTCTATGTGTCTGCATGATAATGGTCCGGGGAACACTTTCGGAACCTTGGAATCACTATGATCTGTGCTGGCTCTAACCCTGAGATCATATGGCCAACAATGCCTGGCCGCGCAGCCACCATGACGGAACAGTGGAGCTCTCTCACACCAGGTGACGCGTAATGGAATTGGCTGTTTCGCTCCCTTCAAATTTGGAATACAAGAATGCCACGACACACATGGCCATTCTCTGCAACATATGGTGTCTACTGGATGCGCTGCTTGGACTTGGGTGGATGGCTACGTATGGGACAAGAAGAGATAACGAAGCGCTGGGGCATCGAAACCGTGAAACGTTTCGTCGGTATCTCCATCCTACAAATCCTCCAGATACTGCTTCCAAGGAAATTGTTTCTGGTTTAGGTTTGGCATCGAATCTGTGACTCGAAGCTGGTTGCGAGCCGGGATGGTCCAGGCCCCGATCGCCACCGTACCGGCGCTGTCCGTTGTATGAACAATAAAGGAAGGCGAGAAAGTTCGAGTCCTCAGATTTTCACATTTCGAGCGCGTGACTGCGACTTGAATGGCCGCATGTAGGATATTGGGCGGAACGAGACAACGGTTCAGAAGGTGTGAGGCCTCCTTTCCCCGGTGGTTGAATGATTGTGGAGCAGCCTGGACTCCCTACAGACGCTTTTCTATCTGCATGTGCGTTCGTGTATTACACTTGTAATACACCTATTTTGACATTTCGACTGTTATGTTTTTATCCCACTTAAGCTTATTCCTCGCCGCCTCCTGGTTATCCGTCCTGGACTCCACTTCATCATTCGACGGATCAGGGCTTTGCCAGGATTTTATTTTATCGTGAGGAAAAGAAAAAGAAAACAAGAGGAAAGAATACAACGTGGAGATGCGATGAAGTCACACTGGAACTCACGAAGCGAACACCGTGAGAGTGACGACATGGATGGCGGTTGTGATGCCAATCGTTCCAGGCAGACCGAGTACTGGCAAGTAAGATTTGGTCTGTCCCATGCAACCACATGGAAGTTTTGACTTGATTTGGATGCGGGTTGGTGCGGTCTGCTTTGTGGTTGGTGTCTTGCAAGGATTTAAGCTTCTCCAAAACCCGGTCCAGACGCCTAATCGCGGGGCCCTTTTTGCAGCTTCAATATGGCGAATTATCCAGGTCGTCTGGATAATTTGTGACAGGAGAAGTCGGTGAAACCGCCCAGACGGTTTCTCCTCTTCTAATCAAGTCTTTGAGTTTGCAACTCGATATTCTAAAATTAGGACGGTTCGTCGCTTCTCCTCAGAGACGCCGTGGCCTAGAACTTTAACTTCACACACGGCCTCGGCCATCCCGTGGAAAATATGGTCGGAACCCTGGGCCGTTACGAGCTATCCCAGGGGACTTCAAATCAATCTCCAGGTATTATCTGCCCGAGGATTCATAAAATATGGCCCAAAACGTGTACAAAGTGCTGATGTGCAACTGTGCTACATCTCCTTCGAGTTACCCGATGAGCTTGCCCGTGGGTTGCAGATGGTGCGGGGTTCGCCATCATTAACGAGTTGAACAGCTCACACCTGCTTTCTAGACCATCTTAGTTCAGACGCATTATTGATGACTATCAGCATCTTACGATGGGAACACGGCAAGCAGAATCGCCTTTTCCTCGTGATACTCCTTTCCCTCCTTTTTAACCATTGCTTCTCTTATCCCTCTACTGTCATACTCTTGCGACGGCGATATCATTACGGTATGTATGTATAACTTCGCCTACACACACTAATCAAACCCGCATGTGGTGCATGACAGGCTGGAGGTCCGAACCATAAAAAGCAATCAGGCTGGAAAGGTCTTCAGACAGAAATTTTGAACTGGGAAACGGGACCGGAGGAAGATCCCGATTTAGCGGCCAGATTCCACACAGGTTCGATTCCCTCCGCCGGCGGTGTGCTGGACAATAGCAAACCTTCCGCCTCTCCTTAGTAACTACGGAGGGCGTACGTACATATGGATGTATGTACTCCGTACGGAGTACATTAAAAAAAAAAAAAAAAAAAAAAAAAAAAAAAGAAAAGGACGAGAAAATCTCGATGGTCACGAGGGACTTGGATCGCGATGCCGGCGGATGCTCGACCAACCATATATCATTAGCGCGAGAGCTAGCTGGGAGAGATGGATAATTACTCCGTAGTTATTTCCTTTCCAGTGGGGTGTCACAATTTTTGTGGGCATGGCGCGGAAGCTGAGCCAGGGTAAATTTTTCAAGAGTCCATCGTATCTAAGTTCCAAAAGTGATGATATAAAGATAGTAGCATACGCTGGATCATCAAGTTCAATCTGTTCAAGAAGATAGGTCCAGTGGAATCTGTGTATTTCCGACGTGTAAGCTCCATGGGCATGGCGGCTATTAATTAATACTTTTAGTTCCGAATGTGCACTTAATGCCGGTGTAATTGAATGCATTTGGAGCCATATTCGCACCAGGCCGCCCACTCCTCGAAGAACTTTTCCCTTGTGAACGAGAAGCGATGGCCCCTGTCCAATGGCTGCAGTCTCGTCTCCGGAGCAGGACATACGGGTACTCCGTAGAAGAAGAAGAAGAAGAAGAAGGGTGGTATTATTAAATGGCCAGAAAGGCTGGGCGTAACGGTTTCTGTGCACTCCGTAGATACGATTCAAAAATATAGAGAGAACCCCCCCGAGACAAAAAGATATGTCGCTCGACTTCGCACTTCAACAAACATTCTGCGGCTTTGGATGGCGGAGATGGCTTCGGTCCGACCAATCGCACGCCAGATCGCTGCATCTCCCGCCACCGCTGACAAAATCTCGCCAGCCGAAACTTCACCCAACTGACACGCAGAAAACTCCTCGAAGGTTTGTTCCGGCATCAAGACCAAACATGTCTGCTCAAGCGGGAGCCGCTCAGGCCAACGAGGATGAATCGCACAAGTACTGGGGGAAGGCCGAACAGCAATTCAAGCAGTAGGTGGTCGCGTCCAAGTCGAAGTGATCCTCATCAACCATCCTTTTTTTTGCCCCTTGGCTTTTCCCCGACGCGAGGCACTCTTTTATCTCCTGCTGTTATCTGCCATAGTACCACTCTTCTCCTCGTTCTATCCTCTTATTGAGTTTATAAAGCGTAATCTTTGATTCGTGATCCTACTTCCTAGTCATCCACCCGGAACACCTATCACATCCTTGCTCACTGTCTAGCTCTATCAATGGCCGCATTGGTGGAAGCAATCATCTTCTGTTACATGTGCTCTGTAGGCGATTGATTGCTCCCCCAGCTAACTCTTGAACCAGCAAACCCGCAAGCCAATTCTTCGATCCTTGTCAAGAGTTTGCCGACCGGAGTATCAAGTGCATGAGGCGCAATGCCGGTGATAGAGATATGTGCACGGATTATTTCCAGTGAGTTCGGCTATCTATTCTTTCACTTGATTTTGAGCGGATTTGAGAAACATCCTAGCTACATGCCTCTTTTTTTTTTTTTTTTTTTTGTCTCTCAATAATTTCCCCTCTTCTCATACACTCCCAAGAACTTTGCCGCTGTTATCCCGCCAAAGAAAACAAATATACTGACACACTTGTTATCAGAGCGTATCGTGACTGCAAAAAAGCCTGGGTAAGTTCTCTTCGGATTCTCAAAGTCCAAATTCCCACGAGCGCACTGCTCCTGCCAGCTACTGCTACTGGTGGCCGGTCCTGGGGCTTTGTTGATGATCCTGCTCGACATGTTTCCGTTTTGCGGAGCTTGGAATCAAATTTCGATGCGTGACTTGGTACCAAAGCTGACCGTGTGATAGATGACCCAAAGGAAAGAAGCAAGCCGCTGAAGCTGTGCGTTTGGAATCCTGTAGTTGTGGTATAGCCACAATATCTCAGAAGCGCCGCGCGAAGCCGCGGCTTCATTAGCTCAATGATCTATGCTGGCGACTGGTTGTATGATAGGAAGTCCATGACCTTCAAGAAAGGTCGGAAGGTCAATGGAGAACTGGATTTACTGGCGTTATAAATAAGGAGGGTGCATTTAGCAGAGAATTTGATCCATTTTGACACACATGCGTTTATGAAGGGAGCAGCTACAGTACAGCTGAGCGTCTTTGCCGTGTTCAGTTCGGGCAAATGCTCCTTTCACTCGCCTTTGAACCTCTTTGCCTCCGACTCTTTTGGAATTTTCCTTTCGCGCCATTCGTACTGTGCTCTTCTTGCGACCGACAGTGAGTAAACAGGGCTGCTGTCTGGTACATAAATATTATCTTTTTGATTAAACTGTGCCGCGGCCGGTTGAAGGAAAGGAAGCCGATGCCTGATGTACGTAGAAAACAAGTAGACATGTAGTTTACTGAGGCAGTAAACAGTTGATACCGGAGTAAATTCCTGGGTACTGGGGCCTTTTCCCCGTGCTGCATCCTTTCGGTTTGCTGAGGCCCAAAAAACAAGGTTCGCCGCGACTATGCACCAACTCAAGCAGCACGCTCTAAGTTGGGTGGTTGGCTACTTTCAAATAAACGAGTTCTCGAGCCAGAGCTAAGCTTCGAGAACTAGCGGATCATCCTTACACAAGCTCGCACATGAATGTTTGCTCGCGCATAGTGGCAAGTCTCTTTCTCTTTCTAGATATAAAATGTCTTCGGCTGCAGTGATTGAGCGCCGAAACAAGCAGATCCAGGATGCTGTTCAAGGAGGAAACTTGAAGCAGGCACTGCAGCTGTGCGAGAAGAGGCTGAAGAAGGGAGAGAACACCCCGTTTCTCAAGGCTGGTCTTCCTCTGCGTTTGTCGGTCCCGAATTCTATGCTAAAATGATATTGTGAAATTCCCCGCAGGCCTGGAAAGCCAATATCCTGTTCCACCATGCCGACGACGCCCATCGAGAGCGCGGGGTTGCGGAGACCCTCGAACTATGCAAATCCACGCCCGCCATCACTGACATCGATGCGTTGGAAATGCTTCAGAATACACTCGCCGGTTTGGAAGAACATACAGAGGCGTTGCGCGAACTCTGGCAAAACGCCGCCAAGGCCAATCCACAAGACGAGGATATTCAATTGCGATGGTTTACACTTGCATCAGAAGCGGAGGATTGGAAGACCGCTCAAAAGGTATGCGGATGCGATCCAGGATTCTGGTCTTTGGTGCCTTTTCTGAGAAGTCCAGGCGGCTGATATTTAATGTGCTGCTGCTTTTAGGCCGCGATGAGTCTTCAAATCAACTTCCCCAAGACAAGGAGATACTATTTCTGGGCCATATTCATGTGCTACCTCATCGCTGCGGATGCTGGCAGTTCACTAGCAGATAAAACACTTTTTGGCACGCTAGCATATCGGATGATATCCAAAGCCGCAGACAGCGTACCGACAGACCCTGTATGTATTGCCCGCTCTCCTTTCGTCCAAAAAGTGCCGGACTTTGTTCCCAAACCCTTCCCCCTGCGGTATAACAATAGTTCTTAACATATGTAGAAAGAGTTACTGAGCCCGGGTAGAGCAATTCAAACCGCCGAAGAGCTGTTGCTGCTCATTAAAATATACAGTCAGCAAGGCCGATACAATGACATTGTCGATATATTAAATAGCCAGCATCTAGGCGTTACCTCGCGCATCGCTCAGAGTGATTGGTCATTCGTGACAGCTAAGCTGGCGACTCTTGAGAAGGCGGCCCTGTGGGAGCAAGGTCTGTCCTATACGAAAGAGCTGCTCAGCCTGCCCGACGAACTGGCCGAAGGGGGAAAGCTTCCTCCAAATTATGAAGAGAAGGATGATTGGCAGGTGTGGAGCTTGCTACTCACGGCGGTAGAGAATGTTCAAATGGAAGGGTAAGTTGATTGACATGTGTGACGGCTCTCTCGCGTCGAACCCGGCAATCTGACATATCGAAGGGCCTTCAAAGATGTGGAAGAGTTTGTTGAAAATTATATCGCAAAACGACCGAAGTCGCGTAATGCGCAATTGGCACGCCTAGATCTCACTTCTCGCCAAGTATCGAAAGGCAAGCGTTTATCGCCGGCTGATCTACTGACGGGATGTAAGATCTATTTCGACAATAATAAGACGAAACTATACTGCTTTAACGATTTGCGAAGATATTTAACGATATTGGATGAGAGTTTTCGAGAGGAATTTCATTCGCATGTGGTGCAGCATGTTAGTATGGAGGCGCCAAATGGTGATAATACAGCAGTATGAATTCCTTTCGGCCGTTTTCGATGTGAATGCTGACGATAATAGGCGGATTATGCATCCAAAACCATTCCTACAATAAACGCTCTGAAATTCGAGTACTGTTTCCGACTTTCCGTGAAATCTGAGGCAGATTCAACTTCACAGGCCAAAGATTTTGCACGCCGCTGTCTTCAGCTGTTCCGAACTTCTAGACAGGCGAATCTTGCTGAAGAATCACCTTCGACCATTGAAACCCAACCAAGTGACGATTTCTGTCTGTTGGCAGCCATGAGCTTGATACGTGTGCATGAAGAGACCCAGGATTCGAAGCTATGTCCGAGTACAGTCTTGACCCAGGCTGCTGGAATTCTTGAACATCTGCTTCTCAAATCCCCTCATAACTATGAAGGTCTTCTTCTACTAGTGCGAGTATACCTGCTTCTCGGCGCCGGCTCGCTGGCGCTCAAGACGTTCGCCCAGCTTTCCGTGAAGCAAATTCAATGTGAAACCGTTGCTCATAACGTCTTTACTCGCATTTCGACCATTCACCCACAAGCCGCCCCCCCTTTTTCCAGTTTGGAGAGGAAGGATTTCGACCCTCAAACGGCACTGAGGCAAGCGTTAATTTTTTACCGGAATGCAGTGAGCTCCACAGCGTATTCCCTTAGCGCTGGACTTGACCACGGTAGCTATGTAAATGTTGAAGGAAGCATTGACTTGCAAAGGAGTTTGAAACATAGCATATGCAGGAAGTTATGGGCATTGGAGGTGCGGAAGATTCAGCGTTTAGCAGGCGGTCCATCCGTGAAACAATACGATCAGCTCGGTGAGTTATAGTTCCCCCTACAAACCACGATGCATCGTTTTTAATGGTGGAATAGTGTGCAATATGGAGCCCGTCATCGATAAACGCACTTTTGACGGATTTATGAATTGTGAACTACCTGGAGATCCGATATTTGAAGAGCACGTTCGACTTGGACCATTGCCTCGAGTAAGCCTACCCAACGATTGCGGGCACCCAGCGCTGCTACTAACCGGAATTTCAGGAGCGAGCCGTCAAAGCTATGGCAGTAACAGATACGTTGCTCAACTATGTATACACTGATTCGTCCTTGAGAGAACGGCTGTTAGGTCAAGTCAACAATCTTGCCGGTTCGCATCTCGACCTTCCAGACTCCGAACTTACACCCACGGAGATAGATAACATCAAGATTCACCATCTCACGATCAAATTGATCTCGGCACTCAGCCAGAAGCCGACAGCGTCGGATACTGCCTCGATTGATGCTACCAGTTCTGAGATCGAGGCCTGGTTGAGCGACAAAATCTCATCTATGTCTGCCTCTAACATCACTGATATTCAAGGCACAATAAATTTAACACCTAGCGATCCTTCTACATCGTCTCCGGCCCCGTCATGGGTCTACTTACACGCAAACGTCTCCTTGCTGGAGACCCTCAAGGCTATCTCTCTGTTTGTCTCCTCTCAGACGCAAGCTAAAGCAAAGTCAAAGTCATCGGGTAGTATTCCAAAAGAGAAACTCGAGTCTCTGAAAGCATTGACCAAGAAACTTGCCGATATTATAACAATGAATACGCGTATATTAAAGACTCGTATTGCCGAATCCGGGATGTTAGGCCAATTGGTTTCTATAGTGACTACAGGACCGAGTGGAAATACGGACGGTCTATCGGCGGAGATTGAGGAGATGATTGATACGTCATCACTGGAGCTATTCTGCGGTTCTTTGATGGAAAGCTGGGATGAAGCACTTGATGGGGTGCTTCTGATCTGCTCGTCTGTTTGAAAAAAAAAAAAAAAAAAAGTGTTGAATGGGGACCTCGTAGCCATTGTCCGTTGTTCGAAGACAGTGGCTAGACTATAAACTGTTCTAAGCGCAGCGCATTTCATCGCTCATTTGTAGCGACATACATGACGTTAAAAAGGCTGAGTTGATTTCATGCACTCAAGATCATCCATTGATATTAAGCAGTCCGAAAACCACTGACGCCAGTAAAAAAAGATAAGTATGAATCTAAACGCAAGAATAAATCGTCCGCATAGTGTAAACCCCCCACATCTAATCCTGTCGTCCCTTGAGCAGCCGTTTTGTGACCTTATCTTTCTCTATGATGTATACATGGGCGCCCCAACCTGATAGAGCATCCCGGTCGACAGCGTTCAGAAGAGCTTGCGAGATGGTCTCGAATAGGTCCTCGGGACCCTATTTACGACTGTCAGTATAAGAATAAAAGCTAAACGACACATAAAAAAAAAAAAAAAAAAAAAGTACCAAATCAGGCTCCCATAGCCCCTCGCACATTCCGAATAACTGGTCGCTGGCTGTGCCGCTGACAATAAAGTCCTTTGCGAAATCAATGCATCCAATGCTGTCAAACCCACAGATAAACGGCTTTCCCGTCGTGTGGTTGATGCCCGCCAACACGGGACTGACGAACCATGGGCCAAACCGCTTCTCGTACAGACTGGACGAGACGAGGTTGGCCAAGGTCTGGGGTGCTATCTGTCTCTCCTCCCGCAAGCGGTAGAGGTTGACTTTGTAGCGCAGCAGGTCTGAGACGGAAGCGACGTCGGTTGCGAGGCCTGTGAGGCCTAGGTATGTGGAGGGAGCGTAGTTGAAGATTTTGGGGAAGTTGTTGGACACGGTGAGGGCCTGCATGCCGAGACGGAGATCGCAGGCTATGGCGACGCAGTCTTTGCCGACCATGGCGACGCAGGCTCCGCCATCTGGACGATTGTAGCTATTAGCGGTGTGGATAGGCGTGAATATGGAAGGGGGACAAGTGTACTTATGTCGAATGGAGATGCCTGTGAGTGTGGAGGTCAGCTGGCTGCTTTGTTGGTGGAAGAGAGAGGCTGGGCGCGCTCACCATGGCGGTCTAGAGATTGCGGTGCTGAAGAAGAAGTAATTGCAAATCCTCAAAGGGACCACGGTGTCAATGGAGTATCTTTGAGGAGCGAGTGCGGTGCCGGAGTGGTGGGAGGCAGATGAAATGTAGGAAGAGAGAGAGAGAGAGAGCGGGAGGGAGATGATGTTTGGGGGAAGCTTCAAGAGAAGCTCGACTGGGCGTTTCTGTTCTTAGCTCCAGCCAACCAGCCAGATGACGATTGGCCCGCTGCCTGCTCATCCTCCAACAGCCCTCGAGACAGCAACATTGACAACAACGGCATCTTCGGTTTGTAT